ATGGTAATTTTTTAGGGGGGTATGTGTGTGTTAAAATATAAATAACATAAAATTTTCCAGTTTAGTCATTTTAAGTATATAATTCAGTGGCGTCAATTACATTCACAACGTTGTGCAATCATCCGCATCTCTCTCCAACACTTTCTCATCTCCTCGCATAGAGATTCTGTACCCATTCAGCAGTAACGCCCCTCCCCCTCCCCCGAGCCCCCCCCCCCAACCTCTAATCTGCTTTCTGTCTCTGCGAATTTCATGGTATTCTTTAAAGCTCCCAAGCACCAAACTTCAATCTTAATTAAGTTCTAAACATCTTTCCAATCGACAAAGCTCCAAGTTAAAAGTTCTAATGCAAAGATCTATATGGGCACAAAAACCTTTAATATTTTCTTTTAATTAGCGCTCTCCATCCAGTACAGAACAGGGAGAATAAGGTAAGTAATAGAGAATTTTCCGGAACCCTTCTTTCACCTCTAAGACCTGGGTCCTTGTGCAGTTTATTTTGCAAAATCAATATTCTTGATCATGTTAAAGTAGGTCAGGAGGTTAATTTATACTGCATGCTGACTGTCGGGTTCACACCATTGTCTCTGCCATTTCTAAACATCATAGTTCAAATAAATATGTGTAATTTGTCTACACTCTTTAGAGCTGGCTTGTTGTTTTTTATATATTTTTAAAAGATTTACTTATTTATTTATTTACAGAGAGAGGAGAAGGGAGGGAGAAAAAAAAATCGATGTGCAAGAGAATAGGGTCCTGGCCCGCAACCCAGGCATGTGCCCTGACTGGGAATTGAACCAGTGACCTTTCACTTCACAGGACAGCACTCAGCCCACTGAGCCACACCAGCCAGGAGTAGAGCAGGATTGCTAAGCTGAGGTCCTGAGATGGTTCATGGAGGAAACCACTCACTAAGTCCATGAACTTGAATGGGAATAAAATTCTATCTTTATTTTAATTAACCTCTAATTAAAAATTGTATTTCTTTCATTTGAGGAGAAACCACAGCAGTATTAGAAGCACCTGTCACTTTGCCACAAGTAGGAATCAGGAATATTTTCCCATCACATCTTGGTTGCAGAAACTTTGAAGTATAATTTACACTCATCACTCTTTGATGCTATGCAAGTTATTAGAGCCTCTGCTAAAACTTGCTATTTAACGTGTTAATAAAGAGACATATATAGTCACATCACAAGTTAAAAATATATTTTAATTATCTTTTATTATATTTAATGTTTTGACTGAATTTCAGTACAAGTGGTTTCCTTTGCAACTCTACGTATTTACCTCGTAAGTTTTAAAACGCTATTCTGAGAGGGTCCCTAAGCCTCACCAGCCTGCCCAGGGGACCAAGGCACCGCAGAGACGGAGGGTCCCTGACCTTTTGCAGGGAGGGCTCTGCAGCAACTCTCTCCCCACAGCATGGCAGGTTTGGCCAGATTCAGCTTTCTTCCCTATTTTTAAAGGATTTTGGGAGAATCATTGAGATTTATTACTCAAAATTTGTATTAGGGTGCTGCTTTACTGTCTCTTAATACTAAGCATATAAGAACCCCTCTAGGTCCCAGGAATTCTATTTCTTCCACCCCAAAGAGTCTCAAACTTGCTTGAGTTAGGAGTGCCTGCCAGAGAAAACTGTTTATTTAGGTCATTTATTTGAAATTCCTTATTTCAATCGTTGCTGGTACATCAATTTCATTTCTGAAGGAATGTTCACCTTCAGGGCCATACAACACCGGGCTTTGCATTTCGCTGGGGCAGACTCAGGTGTGGACACCCCGCCCTCACCCGGCACACATATCTCCGTTGCCAGTGACCTCCTTGGAGGGAGTTTAGCTTCATGTCTGGAGCCAGGATACAGAGCATATTCCCATTTCTTGGTCTGGCTGGTGGACTGAGGAAGGGAAAAGCCTCTCCTGTGGTCAGACCCAGGTGCCCTCCCAGGGAGGCCCTGCACCCTTGGTTTGCCCTGCAGCCCTCTGAGGCCAGGTCCCCCTTGGTCAAGCTAATGGGCCCAGACCCAGCCTCACTACAGACCCGCCCGAGGGTCGGCGGCCCCTCCCGGCAGAGTATGTCAATGGCAGTGGCTTACCTGTCCGCCGCTCGGAGCTCTTCATCTGGGAGACTTTGGGTAGCCAAAATTACCCTTCCGTGGCTTCGGTAGGGGACACCTAACCCCACCTCTTACCTGAAGAAGGAGCTGGGAGACCTGACAGCAAAGTGCTGGACGGTGTGGTCCAGGGCTAGAGAGATACTGACAGTCCCCGGGAGTCCCTTGCTAGAAACAGCAAGATGCGTCTCCCTTCCCTCCCACGTGTGGGATTGAATTCTGCATTCTCCACAGCCCTTCCCAGGGGGAGCTATCCAAGAGGATCCAGCGGGGGTCCTACTGTCCTCCAAGCCTCAAGCCAGGGGTCCCCCACTCCTCTGCACTCTCCCTCCCCTCAGCCCGCGGACGACCTTTCCTCCATCACAGTTCTCTTCCTCCCCTTTAGCCCCGGCCCACCTCATTGCCCCTCCCCCAGGCTTACCACAGCCTCCCTGGGTCTCTGGCCTCAATCCGTCCTCTGGCCCCTACCCCTGACCCCAGGGTGGTCTGCCTAAAGCACAAAACTGACCCTATCTCAGCTTCCATTTCAAAATGGCTCTGACTCCCTATAGCCCTTCAATCCTGGTCTGGCACTCAAGGCCCTTTCAGCCTTGCTGGTCTGGTGTCCCACTCCCCGCCCCTTGCATCTGCAGCCCCCACCCCCGCCCCAATGCCCTCAGTCACCCCGATCCTTACAGCGCGTGGGCCAGCCCTCTGTGGCTGCCCATCGCACTGAGATGGGCCTGCCGGCTGCCTGCCTAGCTGCCCCATGGGCCTGGCCTGGCACAGAGCAGGCATCTGAAATGCTTGCTGAGGAATAAAGCCACCCCCCACCCCCCCGAAAACGCTGCTGCCATCTGCGCAACGGCTGTGGTTTCTCCAGGGTCCTACCGAGTCTGGCTTTCTGGAAGCACCACTTTGAGTGACAGGCCTGAGGGTTTTGTTGTGGGACCACACTGGGGGGAGAGCCTGGTTTCCACTTGACCTCCCGCTGTGGGCGTCTTAGTGCAACATCCCTTGGGAGAGCCTGGGGTGGTGGCCGTCATCTCTTCTTCTGTCCTTCCCCGAATGCACTTTAACCTGGGAACACCCTAGAACAGTGCCTGCCCACCACCCTCAGGGTGGGTGAGACGCTCTCCAACGTCCTCATGCTCTGGACCCCTCAGATCCGCAAAGCAACCGCTGTCAGTGCCTCACAGACTTCCATGCCTAGGTTTCTGCTCTGGGCGCTCAGCAGGCAAAGTGACCTCCACGGTGGCTGACTGTGGCAGGAGCGAGCGATGAAAGAGCCAGAAGGATGACACATACTCTGCGTGTCATCTTAACCCCACCCTTGAGGCCACCCTGAAGACTTTCAAGGGGCAGATCCACTGAGGGAGAGAGGATGGAGCCTCAAGGCTGAGGGCGATGTCTGCAGCTCAGCCATCTTGCCGGAGCGGGGAGCCTCTTTGGTACTCCGGCTGACTGAGTGGCAGAGGTGGCCAAACAGAGCTTTCACCAGTCCCCGGGCCTCTGCCCAGACTGAGCCTCACCCCGGACGCCCCTCTGCTTCTATCAGGGTGGGGTGGTGGCTTGCGCTTGGCCTGGCATAGACCCCAAACCACCAGGGCACCGGGGTAATAGCAGAGGGGCCTCCGGCCACACAGACGCAGATGCCGGAAGCCAAAGTGCAGGCTGCTCTCCGGGGCACTGGCCTTGCGTCCTCCCCCTCCGTGGTTGCAGCAGAAGCACTGCTCAGTCACTTCCCTTGTCACTTTGTGAGTTAGGACCGGGTAGCTGAGGCAGCAAAGCCCTGGAAGCCCACTGCCGGTGCTAGTGCCCTCACATGGGGAAGGGCATGAGGGTGCTGAGTTGCAGTCCTAGGAGGATCGGCTGTTGAGGCAGGGGGTGGGGGGTTCTGAAATGCACATCACAGACAGTCCCTGCAAGTGCACTCACTCCAGGTCAGGGGACCCGGTCTGTGGCCCCAGGCGGGGAGGCGGAGTTTGGATCAGGGGAGGGGGAGGTGCACTCCGGCTCAGCAGGAGTATACTGCCTACTGGCCGGGGTGCTGGGACCTTGGGCAGGGTGTGTCTTCAGGGTCTGGGGACCCTGGGGCCACGGCGGAGCCTCTACCTGCAGGGAAGCAGGGATAGTGGTGGGGGTAAAGGTGGGAGGAGGGCTCTCTGGGCCACTGCCAAGTTTGAATCTAGGCCAAAGTTGGGAACCCAGCCTGTCCCACTGTCCAACCCCCAAATGGGCTACTGTGCAGGAATCGGGCCCCGCCTCCCCACTGGCCTGCCCAAGGACACTCTTCCCATTCCTTAGCCAGGGCCCACCTCATCCTGGCATTCATGGCCCAGGCTTTGGCCCCTCCCCGCTCTCCTTCCCCTACCCTTTGCCACTCTGAGCCTCTGCTCAGGTCACCGCTTCCCCAACCCTTCTCTCACAGTTCAACTGAAAAGGCCCCTCCTCGACCTCCACCTGGGGGGCAGTCTCCCTGAGTCCTGCTCTTCCCCCCAGTGCTTTATCTCTGTGCTTTATAGCAGGGCAGGTGCCTCATTCAGGTACTGCCCGTTGTCTCCTCGACAATGGGCAGCTGGATCCTCTAAGACAGAGCTGGGTGGGAGCCGTGCAGGCTCCAGGCCCCGGTGGGCTGGACAGGGGGTCCCATGTGTGGTATCCCTGTCTCCCCTGCAGTCCCAGAAGGAGCGGTGACCGTGGGGAGGGCAGGAGAAAGGACGACAGGAGAGCCAGGTGCAGTCCCTAAAACAGGCTCTTTAATAACATGTCTTCATTGAAGAGTTTTGCTTTTCCCGCCCAGTGCCCGGGCTGGGGCCGACTGGGTCCGCTGGAAGGATGGACACTCGTGGGCGGTCGCAGGGCGGGGCCGGGTGGCCCCAGGGCCTGGGCGCCCCCCCGCGCCGGGCTAGTAGAAGGAGTACTGGTTCTCCACCGCGCGCGTGCGGCCACGCGGTCCCTCGCCGGGCACGGCATCAGTGGGCTCGTCGGCAGCGCTCGCCGCCTCCAGCAGCCGCTCGGCGCTGTTGCTGCGGCTGCGCGCGCTCGGCGGGCCTTCGATGGCGGCGCGCGGGGCAGTGGGCAGGGAGGCAGCCGAGGACGACGAGGCGGAGGAGGACGAGGCGCCGCCGGCCTCCGAGGGCGAGGCGGGCGGGCAGGCGGCGGAGAGGCTGGCGAAGTAATGCTGGCCGGCCGGCTCGCTCCAGCAGGCGGCGGGCGCGGGCACCGCGGGCACCGCGCTGGGCGAGGGCCCCGGCTCTGCAACAGGACCCGGTGCGTCAGTGCCCAGCCTGAGTTCCCCAGTCACAGCGTGTCAGACTGGGACCAGGGACCCGGAGGAATGGGGAGGCCTGGGATCACACAGGGAGCCAGGACCCTAATGCAGCCATCCGGGTTCCAGCCCACCTCCCCGGAGAGCATCATGGGTATAGGCGGCAGTGCACACACAATGGTGCTCAACCCACGTGTGCTGGACACACTCACTCACCCCTTCAACGCCCCTTTCCTCCACAGCTCAGCGCAGAGCCCCACCTGTCTCTAGGGACGGCCCCGGTACTGCCTCTGAGCACCCCTTCCCCCTGCCAGGAACCACCCAGGACACGCCCCGTGTCCAAATCCTGAGGGCCCCGATTGCTTACAGCTGCCCTCATCCCGCCAGAGCTAGAAGCTGGGAAACGGCCTCAGAGTGCCTCCGCCTCCCAGGGCCCGCCCGTCTGTCTTCTTGAGCCCTCACGCCTGCCGGGTGGGGCGTCTTACCAGGTGGGGGGCCCTGGGCCCGCACGTAGCTGCGTAGGGTGATGTCTGCGGAGCCTCCTGACTCCAGTGGAATGGGGTGGGTGTGGAAGTGGCGCAGCATGTCAAGCACCGACTGGAACCACAGGTGCTGAACGTGGCACTGCCCGTGGCCATTCAGGGACAGGCGCAGGTGCTGTGGGCACAGATCGGTATAGTCAGTGGCGGGATCCTGGGCAGGCAAGTGCCTTTAGGGGCCACTGGGAGGACCAAGTCTCACAGAGGCCATAGGGGGTTATGTGAGAGAGGGCTCCTACCATATGCATCCCATCTCAGTTGGGATGGGGGTGGGGGTGGGGGTGGGGAATGGGTGGCAACAGAGCCAGGCTGGAACTGAAGGAGCAGACATTTGCCCCGATGTTGGGAGCACCCACCTCAGGCCCCTCACACTCCCCATATCAAATCTCCAAAAGCCCTAACAAGGTAGAGATTACAGCCTCCGTATTAGAGATGGGGAAACTGAGGCACAGAGAGGGAGTGACTCACCCCTAAGTGACTCAGGAGGCACAGAACTCATGTTTGTGTGATTCTCCACCCTGCCACCCCCACAGAGCCAAAGCCCAGAGGGACGGAAACCACCCGACGCTGGCTGGCGGGAAGTCGCAGTATGTGCTTCTCCACGTTGCTGCAGTGGCAGCACCAGGGGCGTGGGGGACAGGCGGGGCCTCCGGGGCCCACAGGGGGCGGCTGCCTCAGGGAGATGAGCCGCAGGCCTGTGGGCTCCAGGGTGGGCCTTAGCTTGCTCTCTATGGATCCCACAGGAGGAAGAGTGGCTGTTGCTGCGTATAGTAAGCAGGGAGGTGACGGAAGGTTGCAGGGTGTGCTCAGGCCTCGAGCCCAGGCCAGGGTGCTGGCCTAGCCACCGACATAAAGGACAGAAGCCTAGGGGGCAGGGTGCTAGGGGTGGTCCCATGAATGACTTCTGCCAATCAGCAGGGCCAGAAGTTGCCAGAACAGTGAGAGCAAACCTGAGGAGCCTTAATGGCACCCAGGGCAGGGCCTGTCGGGGCAGAGCCCATAGCGAGGTAGCAAGGCATGTCAGTCTCTGGGAAAACATTTTGGACATTTATTATCTGAGGAGGCAGAAGTCCTCCTTCCCAGGAGGAGTGCGAGCGGAAGGCGGGGGGCCCTGCAGTAGCCCACCACTAACTTATCTCCCCCGGGGCAGTCACCCTGCTCTGACCGGGCAGGAGCCAGAGCGAGTTCCGTGCTGGGCTTTTCCCCTGGAAGGAGCGGCGTGTCCAGCTCTTCTCCGACCCTCGCCACCCATGCCCCCCAGTTGGCTGGGCGCCATTCTAGTCTCCGGCTTGGACATGAGTCAGATCCCAGGCCCTTCAGGGAGGATGCGAGGGGCGGTGCTGGCCAAGAAGTAAACTTGGGGTTGCCAGGGATGGTGTTAAGTGCCTGGTTGTCAGAGGAACTGGTAAGGGTGGCTGCTTTCCAAGGAGGTGTCCCTGGAGAGATGCTGCCTTCTCCACAAAGCGACAACACCGCCAAGGATACAGACCCAGGGAGCCAGGGGAGGGCTTGCACCAGGTCAGCCGGGGGGTGGGGGTGGGGGTGGGGGTGCAGGTGGGTGGGGCACTGATCACCAATGTAGGCCTGGAGCAGGAGAGCTGGGTGCCCCTCGTCCAACAGGGACTGACGGGAACCAGGTCCTGGGAGGAGCCCAGCCTAGGTCTGCCTCCTCGTCAGAAACTCAGGACCGGGGTGGCGCGGAGGTTGAGGTTCCCACCTATTCCGGTCACACTGTAACCACCCCCCACCGTCCTTTGACTTTTCAGACATATTTTCCTTTGTACCTTAGGCCTTTACATGGTCCCACAATGGCCATCCTTGACAGTCCCGTCTCTGGGAGCACTGTCACGCCTTTGCTGTGCCCTGTCTCGATCACCCCTCCCGTCTCCCTGTAAATATTCTCCCTCCACTGCACATCTCAGGTCAAGGCCGCCTCCTGCTTGGCTGGCAGGGTCCGCAGCCCCCTCTGGCCCTCCTGGCCGGCACAGCCCTCCTGCTCAGCCCAGCTCCTCCTCCCACGCTTTGTCCTCTCGGAGTCGCCTGTATGCGGTTCCCTTCCACGCCCCTTGGCCTGAGCACAGGCCAGGCCTGGCCTGGGGCTGGGGCACAGGAAGGGGTGGTGAACTGCCCTGAAGAGGCTAGAAGCAGGGCTGTCTGGGGGTGGGTGGGTCAGGAGGGCCTTGGCTGACCCCAGTGCTGCACTGAGGTGGCTCTTGGTACAGACCCTCAGAAGCGCCCGTGCTTCTCAGGGGTCATAGGTGAGTCTGCAGAAGAGCCTGGCCTCCCGGGTGCTCAGCCACCAGGAGGTGACTTCCCCGTCTGGAAAACAGAGAAGCCATGCCTGGAGCAGGGATCCGGGTGGTTCAAAGAGCATGGCCGGGGGTAGGCCTGGCCCAAGGACATACGGGCGCAGCCTCAGGACCAGGGCCGCCTCCACCCGCCCCGGTCCCCCTGCACACTTGCCTTGGCCTTGCCTTGGAAGTTGAAAGTCAGCACATACTCCCCAGGCCGAGTCTCACTCTGGCGGATCACGAAGAGGCCATGGCTCCGGGCCCCGCCCGCCAGCACCAGCTGCGCTGCCTTGACCCTTGACAGCGTCCCGTGGAACCAGGGGTAGTCAGAGAGCTCCAGCTCAGGTGCCGCTTCGGTCTCAGGCTCTGCCCCCTCCTCCCCTGGAGAGGATGACAGAGCGAGGGATGTGAGGGGTGGGAGGACAAGGAGATGCGACGTCTTGTTGGGTTTCTACATGAAAAAGTCTGTCTGGATAATTTTAGAACGAGACCAGGGGCCGACCCCACTCGCTAGTTCAGGCTATGAGGTCAACTGAGGCACAGAGAGAAGGGCTACCTGTGGCGGTCTCCAAGTCAGCAACAAACTGGGGAACAAATCAAATCTCCTCATCCCTAACCCCTGGTTCTGACTCTTCACTCCCCTTCTGGGCATTTTCTACTGAGACCAGGGCCTGTGGGAAGGGTCATGTTCCAGGACTAGCCTACAAAAGCCAAAATTCTGAGCTGCTGTGCAAAGGACCTGGTGGGATGACATGTCACGGCTTCTGAGGCTCAGGAAGGGCCTTGGAGGGAGCTGCAGGGGCCTGTGGCCTAGGCTGGGGGCGAAGGAAAGAGGGGCTGGGAGGGCAGGCTGCCCCACTGCACCTGTGTCATTGCTGTCACCGCCACTGCCGCCTGGGGATTCCAGGGTCTCCAGGAAGGTCTCCAGTGGGACGTGGACCAGGGACTCGCTGATGGCATCTCGAGCTCGGCTGTGTGGGGCTGTCACCACGGCTGCCGCTGTCTCTGAGGGTCGGGGTAGGTCCACTGCTGGAGAAGGGGCAGTAAGCAGCACGTCTGCCTGTCTGGCTGCCTCGGAGTGACCACCCCTCCAGCCCTGCCCTCGCGGTGCCAGCCGGCTCTGCCCCCGCCTACCCTCCGTGAGGAGCTCGCAGCTGCAGGAGGCCACGCGGCTGGCCAGACAGCCCCCCCGAGCGCAGGAGAGCTCTGGGTCTTCCTCGCTGTCCCTGTGGAGACAAGAAAGCATAGCTGTTCAGCCGTGGGATTTGGACCATGGGCTGCTCACAGAACCAGGCGGAGGCTCACCTGAGGCGCCTGCACCTTCATGTCCCTCTGTCACACCCTCAGCTTGTTCTGTGGCCACCATGTATGACCGGGCTGGTTAAAAGAGGCCTCCAGGTGGCTGCAGGCCTCCTGGAGGTCACGTGACACCGGCCCACTAACCCGCAAAGGGCTGGCCTCCTCCTGGGGCCCCATGGAGTCCCACAAATGGTGGCAGGCGTGGCAGTGGGCAGGGCCTGGGCAGCTCCCTTCCTGGTCTCGGGCCTTTGTCTCTGCATCTGTGACATGAGGTGTCTGGGGTCCTGCCAGCTCTAAAATACTGCAATGTTCACCTTCACAGGGTCCGGGAAAAGAGTTTGCAGAGCAGATGGTTGGGAGGGTGGCAGGGGAGGGATTATAACCACTTTGGGGATCAGGGGGCCGGGGAGGCGCTCAGGACTTTAATTGTGCTTCCTTAAATGAAGCTGTTAATTAGAAAGCAGCAGCCCCTCCCCCCTGGGGCTTGGCTCACCCCATTAGCCAGAAGAGCTGTTGCCAAATGCTCTGTGGCTGGTCTGCCTGCCCCTCCCACTCTTGGCCTCCAGGTCTCTCCTGGATGGTGCAGCCAGCCTCCCTGTTGCTCTTCCTGTACACAGCTGACCGCAGCTGCCCTCCGCTTACTACCAGCCGTGGCTCCCCACTGCTCCTGACTTAGCAGCTTCCTGGGCTCTCATCAAAGCCCTTCTCACCAGCTCTAAATTCTAACTACTTGAAGGCTTTGACGTTCCCTGCAAGTTTCAGGCTCACGCACAGCTCCACACCTTTTTCTGGGCTGTCCTCTCTGCCCTCTCCTGCCTCCAGCCCGCGCTTTCTTTAAGCCTCGGGGATGGTGAGCACCTCCGCCAGCTGCCTTCTGAGCCCCAGGGTGGGTTGGGGGCCTCCCCTCTATTCTCCCACCCCAGTACTTTGGACTCACCCCATCACTGCCCTTCTCCTAGTGGTCTCAGGCTCCCCTGGGGTGAGGACAAGATTTGATCCAACTTCCTGCTAGGCCCCCAGGCCCTGGCCCTCCAGAGCAGGCCTCGAAACGCCTGCTGGGGGTCGGAGTGGGGGTGGGGGTAGGGATGCACGGCCAGCACCAACCTGGATAGAACTGCCATGAGCAAGGCCCTTCTCTGGAGCTCAGCACCAGACAGCTACTACCCCAACCCTGGCCACCTATCCTAGGATCACTTGGGCACTCACCCGGGGTCCACGCAGCCCTGGATGTCGGCTACCCACGAGTGCTTCTGCAGTGAGTCGATGGTCTCCAGGATGTACTCTGCTCCATTCTCCACCTGGGAAGGGGTGCCAGGAGTCCAGGCAGCAGTCAGTACCCTAACCTCCTCCACGCTCAGCAGGGGGCTCTAGACCCAAGACAATTAGCTCATCCTACCCCTCTCCCATGGAGGCTCACTGGTGTGAGCAGCCGCAAAGACAGTGGGGTCACCACCAAGCACTACCCTGAATGCGGGCCAAGGTCCTGGGGGAGAGTCCCACCCCACACTCTCAGCAGCCCCTTCCTCTGGGCCCACCACTGGGGTGACTGGGTCCTCAGGCCCTGGACATGCAGCCTCAGAGGTGGCCGCGCTGGCTGGGGAAGGGTGGGCTGGCGCCCCGGAGATGGGCTGGAAGGACCTGGCAACCCTCCAGCCAGCCAAGGGGCCAGCTGCCTCAGCACTCGGGGTTGAGGGGCTCACCTGCCTTAGTGCCCGCAACTCTGCCTCTGAGGCTGTACCCCTGGGCTAAGCGGGCTCCACAGGGGAGAGAGGGGAGGGAGAGCCCTTGCTGGGAGGCAGGCCCGGAGTGCCATCCTGCACATACGTTACCGGGTGACCTCATTCCAACCGCCCTGGGAAGGAGGCAATAGGCTCTCCCCACTGTACAGATGAGAAAACTGAGGCTCAGAGAGGATAACGTGTTTCAAGTCCCACTAACACTCTGTGGCGGCGCTGGGGCATGAGCCCAGGTCTCTGCCAGGCTGCGCGCGCTCAGCTTCCTGTTGTGTGCCTCAGTTACAACGCAGTTGTTGGACTCCTGGCATCTCAGAGCTGGGGGGGTCCTTGGAGGCTACCTTCAGCCCCTCTCTGAACAGATGGGGAAATGGAGGCCCAGCACGGGGCTGGTAGGTGGCTCCTTAGCCACAGGGCTCCTGAGCATAATCAGCTGCACAGTGGCCACTCAGCTGTTGGGAACCAGGCTCTGGACCCATGTCACTAGCAGATGAGAGTGCCAGCAGGGAGGGGCTGTATCCTCAGCCCCCAGCCGGGGTGACTCAGGGTGTGGGGTTGGCAAACGTTTGCTAAATGAATAAGGGAGTTCGTGACTGAACAAATGGGGGAGAACAAAAGCACAAACCCAGCCAGGAGCCTGGAAAAGAGGGCGGGGGCTCCATGCAGCTTTGGGTGGGCGGGACCAGCCCTGGCAGCTTGGAGCCATGTCCTTGGCACCCTGAGCAGGCCCTGCCAGGGTCATGGGTCTTGGCAAAAGGAAGAGCTGCCACCAGAATGAGCCCCTCTGTCCCCCCTTAGTGCCTCTGTTCCCTCTGAGGGACCAGGTGGGCTCCCACACTCCAGTGCTCTGCGAGGGAGCATCTGTGTAACTGCTGCAGGCTGGCTACCAGTTTGCCTGCCCGGGGGTGGGGGGTGTGTGTGTGTGCTGGCTCCAGGGCCGGAGCGGGGGAGGGGGAGAAGTGAAACTCAGAGGAGTGTCACCTAGGCCCAGGAGGAATGGGAGCAGGGGACCCCAGAGGCCAGGCCTGGATTTAAGTCCTAGCTGGGGGCTCGCCACCTGTGTAGGGTCCTAGGACTCCCAGTCAGGGATCCCTCCTACTGCCCTGCGGCTGAGCCCTTTCCCTCTCCCTACAATGGCCTCAAGCCATGGCCCCGCCCCTGAGGGAGGTGGCTTGGGGCAGCCAGAGGATCTGCGGGGCCCCGGGCGGGACTCACCTTGAGCACAAACGTGTTGTCCTTCTCCGGCATCTCCAGGGGCATGGTGGTGCGGACCTCGATGATGGCCGAGAGGGGGATGCTGACCCTGGGCCTTGAGGCCTAGGAGGCCGGAGGAAGGGCTATGAGTCTCCACAGGGCCTCCCGAGACCGTCTCTGAACCTCCCCACCGCCCAGAGCAGCCCTCAGCTTGGCATGCCACGGCAGCCCTGGCGCAGAGCTGTCCCGACCCCCATTTCACAGACAGGGAAGCTGAGAGAGTTTGGAAACAAAGGGCCCCCCCCCGCCCCCCCAATACAGTATCACAGCAAGTCAAGGACAGAGCTGGGACTGACATCTGGGTCTCCCACCTGTGGGCCCTGCCGGGGGAGCTGTGCCCGGGCTGCCCTTCCGCCCCGTGCACCCACCAGATCTGCGGTTTTCACGTTTTTGATCTTGATCCATGATAAAAAAAACATTTGACATTGCAACCCAGTATCCACATAGGTAAAAATACCTCTGAAATAAATGTTTCAGCAGACATTATTTACCCTGTGTGTGATTATTTTCTATTTTATTTTACTTCATTAAAAGAATGCCCTGACCGGCACAGCTCAGTGGACTGAGAATCGGCCTGCGAATCAGAGTCGTTGGTTGATTACAGGTCAGGGCACAGGCCTGGGTTGATTACAGGTCGGGGCACAGGCCTGGGTTGCAGGCCAGGTCCCCAGCAGGGGGCGCGCGAGAGGCAACCACACATCGGTATTTCCTTCTTTCTTCCTCTCTTCTCCCTCTCTAAAAATAAATAAGTAAAATCTTAAAAAAGAAAAAGTGCTGTTCTCCCCTTCAAACTAGACTTTCCAGAGCACGGCTCTGGTGTCCTGACTCAGAGCTCCTGGGGCTGGCAGGGCAGTGTCTTCTGGTGGAGGCAAACGGTCCGTCTGGGGTTCAACCAAGGTGAGCTGGCAGAGCTCCCAGGGAGGCACTCTGTGCCTGACCCTTGCTGCTCTGCCCCAAAGCTCCTGGCCATGACCTGAAGGTCCTCTGGGGCTGGCTTGAGACTGAGATTCCTGGCAGGACTTGGGCTCTGGGACAGGGACTTTCTGAGGAGGAAGGGGAAGGGCCACATGCTGGATGGGCAGGCGGATGGGGATTCCTGGCAGCACTGGCTACCATCCAGTGGGTGCAGGGCTGGGCTTGGCGTGGTGACTGAGGGTCCCAGCTGACCATGGCAGGCCATTGCACCAGCCACTGGGGTTGGGGGCCAAGGTCCTGGAGTGGGTGGGACAGAGGCCCGTAGTGACGGCCTGGACTGGCTACTCCAGCTGGGCTCCCGCGGGCTGGAGGTGCCGATTCTCCCACCTGGCACTGGAGGCCTCTCTGTCCCGGCCCAGCTGCCTTCCACCCTGCTCTGGCCACACATCACTGTTCCCAGTTCTCTGGATGGAGCCATGAAGCTGTTTCATGACTCCAGACCTCTGCTCACTCAGCTGGTGCCTCCAGAAATGCCTGTCCTGGGGCTCTGCTGCCTGGTGAACATTTACACAGCCCCAGCTTACCTCCTAGGTGCCCCTGGAGCACGCAGTGCTCAGCCCACTGAGGTTTCCCATCCAGTGCTGCAAATACCAGTCTCGTGGTGGCTCCCCCAGGGGCCAGCCTCATTGCTCTCTGGGTCCCCAGGGCTTGCCTGGCACAGGGCTCTAAGGGGACGGGGGGCCAGAGACCTGACTCAGGGGGCTGTATGAGAAGAAAGTCGGAGGAGCCCAGGAAATAGCGCCTGAGCCGCTGGACCCGGGGTTCCTGTCTGCTCCGGGGGTGCGGCTAGGCCTGCAGGACTGGAGAGCAGTGGGGCATAGCAGCAGCGTCTCCCTGGGGCACACGTCAGGGAAACCGGACTTGGGCCCTTACAGTGGTGTGACGCACGCTCCTACCAGCTCACTCCTGAGTTCCCAAACATGTCCATGAAAAATGACGGGTTGGACAGCAGATACGTGGGGGAGGGGGGTGGGGTGCGGGTAAGACACCACTTGCTTTCCACAGAGGTTGGGGAAGGGACCCCTCAGGAACCCTGCCTTCTGCTAGTGGTGAATGGTGGGCTCGGAGGGATAACCAAGAAGGCACCAGCTGCTACATCCCCACCTCTGAGGGCAGCAGCCACTGCTATTTACAGCCGGACAGCTGTGACTGCCACTCAGGGACTGGAGTCCTTGAAGGCCTGGGCTTCTGCCTCTGTCCTTTGGGTGACCCTGGGCAAGCCCCACCTCATTTCCCGCCCCTTACTGTGCCTTGGTCTCCTTGTCTGACAAGGAGGGGGAGTTGAGCTTCATGGTCTATGATTTCTCTCTGGGAACCAATAGCGGGGGCCTGGACAGGCAAACCGCCCTTGGGAAGTCTGGGGTGGGGGTCCCGGGACTTGGGGAGAAAGCTCTTCAGACAGTGAGTGTGTCCCTAGGAAGTCACGTCTCATGCAGCTCATGAGCAGTCTTGGGGAATCTATACCTGTCCCTCCAGTGGAACCTACAGTTCTGGCAGACAGAGAGATGGGGACAGAGGCGAGAGACTCAGGGTGACTAAACCCACGGGGGATAGGGTAGAGGCCCAGAGGCAGGCGGAAGCCCTGGGCGGTTCTCGGGGGTGCCGCTAGCTGCTGTACCAGCATGGCCTCCCCACGAACCTCCCAGTGCACAAGGAGCTCCTCCCATACCCCTTTCATTCCTGGGACTACCAGGGTGGCGGGGTAATCAGCCCAGCTCTGCCACCCACAAGCTGTGTGACTTTGGGCAGGCCCCCCCCCCCGCCCCACGTATTCTTTTTTCCCTCCTCTGTGACCATGTGACCACGAGGCCCTGGTGCTGGAGTACTGGGAGGGATGAGGCCGCCCGCCAGGCCGGGCACTCAGTGGGCTCTCTGAAAACGGGCACTGCTTGTATAGTTACTCCCACTTTCTAAACAAGGCAGGTTTTTCACCCTGGAGGAGACGCAAAGCATCACCTAGGGCTCTTCTGGTGAGCCCCCAAGAGGGGGAGGGGACAGTGCACTCATGTGAACAGCAACGCTGGTGACAGCTAGAACTTAGCCTTTGAAATCCAGCCCAAAAAAGGGCCACGTGGGCAGGGGCTAAGCTGCGGCCAGGCAGCCCAGCAGGATTCAGAGCCCTCCCAGAGCCGATCCTGCCCTCCCGGGAGTGGCACCTTGGAGTGTGCCACTGTCACTCCCTGCCCTCATCCCATCCCCGCAGGCCTCCTCTCTGGGCAGCTCTGGCCACCCAGGGGTCCCAGATAAAGCAGAGAGCAGGGCAGGGAGTCAGGTTTTCAATGCCATGAAGAACAGCACCCCAGAACTAGTCCTGCAGTCAGAGTGGCCTCTGACACCTCACAGGGGCAGACAAGCCTTGAGGAGTGACTTGCGGGAGAGTAGAGCGGCCCGCGTCCCAGGATCCTGCCCCTCAGCACTCCATCCTGCTAACCGGACCAGGCAGCGCCCAGGCCGGCCATCTGCAGCCTAGGCTGTGGCCACGGGACTCCATCGTCCCCCGAGTGGGGGCTAGCGCTCACCTTGGGCGGCACGAAGAACTCTAGGCGGAAGCGCTCGCCTGCCACGGCCCTGCGCAGGAGCAGGCGGCATTTCTGCCACTGGGCGGTGCCCCCGGGGCCGGTGGCCGCATCGTCCGCCACCATGAAGCGCAGCGCACCCTCGCGCTGGATGTCCACCAGCTCCACCTTGGCCGCCAGCGTCCGTGACAGCCGCAAGCGCCGAGTCCATTTGTCGCGTGGCTCTGCCGGGGGCTCGGTGGCACGTGGGGTGGCGTCAGGCTCAGGAGAGGCGCGCCGGTGCCATATGTCACGCATGCCGTCTACCACGCAGAGGCTCATGTTGCGCAGTGAAAAGCCCTTGCGGACGCGGGCCTTAGCTACTGCTTGAACGGACACGTCCTCGGAACTCCGCGAGTGGCCGCAGGACGCCGCCTTGAGTGCCGCCGGCTCGGGATCCATGGCGTCAGAGGGATCGGCCACCCCAGCCACCAGCATGCGGCGCACCTCCTCACTGAAGACGTCCAGGAAGTTGGTGGCGAAGTGGCGGGAGAAGGAGGCCCCGGCGTCCGGTGTGTCGTACGCCGGGTTGTCCCGCAGGAAGCGGCAGAACTTGTGCGCGAAGTCCACGGCGGCCGCCTGCGCATGCAGCTCGCAGAACTGCCGCCAGTCCGGGACCGGGGCTGCGGCGGCGGCGGCGGCAGGGCCCGAGGCAGCACCATTCATGGCTTCCGTCCCATCGCAGTCCTCTGCAGCTGCGGGTTAGAAGAGCTTGAGGTGACATTGTGACCTCTGACTAGGGCGCCCACCTGTCCTCTGCCTCCCCAGGGTTCCCTGGGGCTGTGTGTGTCTGCGTGTGTCATGGCTGGGGAGGTGGTGGTTCTACAACCCGCAGCCTTTCTGAGCAGGACCAGTGAGTGAGGAGGTTCACTAGGGAGGGAAGACGCAGCATTTGCAGGAGGACAGCCCCCATTCACTGTCTCTTCAAACAGCAGCCTCCGTTAGGAACCCCCAAGGTCAAGCCTGGGGCAGCCAAAGGAGGCTCAGATGACAGGGGCCTTGAAGTGAGGTCCCCATGAGCCTCCAGTAACCTCACTTCCCCAAGTAAACTCCTCTGAGGGCCCCTACAGCCCCGTGAACACAAAGCCATGTGCAACCCTCTGGGCTCTACTTTTGAAATACTCCAGGAACCCAGCCCCTCCCATACTCACTGCCGTCCAGGTTGCTGTCGGGGGGCCCACATACCCTCTTTTGTAGGCAGTACTTTAGCAGCCTCTTCACTGGTTCCCTGGAAACTGAACTCACTCTACAGTCTGTTCTCCACCCAGAACCTCGTCATCATTTCTAAAACATAAGGCAGATCAGGTCCCCCTTCTGCTCAAAATCCTGCAATGGCTCCCATTCCACTCAGAGTAAAAGCCAAAGCCCTGCCCTGGCCCCGCTGGCCTCCCTCCTATGACCTGCCTCCATTTACCTCTGAGCTTACCTCCCGCCGCTCTTCCCGCCCCTTCTGCCCTGGCCACGCCCATCAACAGGCCCTTCGACTCTTTCCTCCACACTCTGTCACCTCCTTCAGGTTCCTGCTCCAATACCATCTTGTCTGCCAGCCGTCCCTGCCCCCCGCCTCTGCTGAGAAGAAAGGCTCCCGCTCCACCCAGCGCTGGCATCTCCTGCCCTGTGCCTTACTTTTCTCCATGGGGTTTGCCCCCACCTGACATACCATTTATTCACTTGCTTGGCTGTGTTCTCCCCTCTCCTCGCCCCGTCCCCTGAGAATGTCAGCTCCACAAGGCAGGTATTTTAACAGTGTTATAAGTGGCCGGGTCCCCAGTGCTTGGCACATGGCAGGCGCCCTGTGAACAATGAATGAATGACTGAATGAACAAATGAATGCGTTTGGCACACTGGGCAGGTCACAGCTGTCACCACCTAAGCTCTCACAAGGGGCCTGGGGACACACGGCTTGTTAGTGACAGACAGGCCTGGGATTCTCATCCCGACTCCAGGACTTGGGGGGTCATCTCCTAGTGTGGATCAAGTCAGACTGCACTGGCTCTAAAGGCACTGTCTCCTTGGACCTCTTTCCATCACAGGGGCCTCCGCGCTGTTTGTGTCCCCACCTCCTGGAACCCCGTCCTGTCCCCAGCGCTCACCCAAACCCGACCTCTTGAAAAGGTCCCAATCCAGGAATCCGGCTGTCTCCTCACCCCAGCTTCCCCCTCCTTATGCCCAGGCGCCCCATCCCTCCTCACTCTGGGTGGCCGAACTACTTGGTATTTGAGGGCTTTGCCTCCTTGTCCCCCAATGTGGCCATCACCCCTGGGGACACAGGCACAGCCCACTGGGTTTGTGCAACCCTCTCCCCAGACTCGGGTGAATTTACCAACAGAGAATGAGAGTGATGTGGCCCGGTCCTGCCTTGGGGAGCCCACCTCAGGGCCCAGGGCTGCTGTGAGGGGGACTGAGGCCGAGGGCCGCGCCCTCGGCTGCCCTCCCAGGATCCCACATTGCCTGCCTGGCGCGGCCCTTGCAGCTCTTGGGAGTACTATCTCATCTCTCTTCTGAGATCCAAACTCTAATTAAAGCCAGGTAAAAATAGCTGCCCCACTTCTGTGAGATCCTGTGCAGGGCCTCCGGGCCGTGGGGCACCGTGGGAATTCCCTCTCACCTTGGGGCAACCTCCGCCCTCGGTCTGCAGTCAATAACCACAGGAGAGCCCTGGGAGGAAAGGGACCACTCGATGAGGCCACTTAGCATAGCTGACAGTTTTCCACACCAACAGGTCTCCTCAGACTTCTGTCCTGGTACCGGGGGAGAGGGCAACAGGAAGCTGGGGAGCCTTCCTGGAGGAGGTGGGGCCTGCCTTGTGCTTCATGCCTCAAGTGGATGAAGAGTGCCCTCCCCATAGGCCTGAGCATTACGTGGGAGGCAGACTTGCCAGGACACAGGAAGAGGAGTTGGAGAGAAGAGGGGCTCAGGCACTCATGAGCTTGGCTCATGCTGGGCCTTTTCAATACCTTGCTCTTCCTCCTTTCTTCATTTGGCTAAATCCTACTCATCCTTCAATAATTAATTGAGGTCTACTTCCTCCAGGAAGCCTTCCCTGACCTTCTGCCTCCTCTGCCAGCTGGCATGAGTATCTCCCCTGAGCCCCCACGGTCCCCTCCCCAACGTCCCTCTAGCGGGGTGCAAGTTGCAGGGCGCTCCAGGTATGTCTCCATGTCTCTCCCCCGAATCTGGCACAGGCGCTCTTTGGGGGCAGGAGGGAGGCCTGAGTCACGTCAGTACTGGAAGTGAAGGCAGAGATGCACCTGCCACCACTAGCAAGGCCTCCAGAGAAGGCGAGCTGAGGCCTCAGCCTCCCCTTCGGGGGTGGGAGCCCTGAAGCTAAGCCTCTGAGGGCCTGTCCCCATGCTCCCAAGCCCATCTCTTTTACCCAGCATGGCAGTGTTCCCCAAGGTGTCACCTCCCCCCGTACCACCCCTGGAACCACCCGGAGGGTCAGACAAGGTGACATGACAGCCTCGGAAAGGCTAGCCCTGGAGCCAGCATCGAGTGTGGATGCCCCTTTTGGACATCATTTTGCTCCCACGTGGGGCAGGTGGGGACAGGAGGAAGTCAGCCCCAGTTCCCTATCCTCTGGCATTAGTCCCTGTCCCTCCCTGCTCTTCCTGCTGGCTGACAATATTCCTGGCAAGGAGAAGTGGCAGGGTAGAGAGATAGGGCCCTGGGGAGAGGCTCTCTCACGGGGTGGCGGGGGTGGGGGTGGGGGCCTCGGTTCGCCCTCACTGGAGGTAGAGGCAGCGCCCAGAGAGGAATCTTCCAAGGATACGGTGGCTGTGGCCATGTCCTGGGCAGGGCCTGGCCCAGGAGGCACTGGGAGGTTGGTTCTGTCTTGCCCTTCCCCACCCACCCTTGCTGGCTGCCCCGCAGTCTGCCGGCCTGGTGCCCAGCACGGCAGCCCTCTGTGTGCCCTGGGTCCAGCCAGGGCTACAAAGAAGTGGCCGAGGTTGAGAAGCCAAAGGTCAAAGTCACAAGCAACCAGGTCAGCAGGGAGCCCCATGCTTAATTACAGATGGGGAGGTGGAGGCCCAGACATGACTCTCTGCGAAGGGGAGGCCGTCCGTCCCACGGAAGTGGGCTCGGACCCAGCAGGAGCAAGGGTGTGCTGTGGGCCAGAACTGGGGTGCAGCCATGTGCAGGGGCCTTGGCTCATCGGGGCTCGAGGCCTGACCCCGTGGCTCTCTGGGTGAGCACCTCCTCCTATGGCCCCAGGGAGCCAGGAGAGACCTGGGAGTCAGGGCAGGACAGTGGCAGATGGGGCGAGGGGAGATCTGGGCTCTGTCTCGGGCCCAGCCTCGGGTCTCCCCAGGCCCCGGCGCCCCCTCAATAAAAATGGAGGGCTGGAGCACAGTGGTCTCTAGGGGCCCGATGGTGATTTGGACACTTTGGACTGGGGTCCTCCTGCCACTCCCTTGGCTCGAGGGGCAGCCAGGGGGCCGCCTCTCACCTTCAGTCTTCTCTGAGGATTGGGCTGGAGACAAAAGGGGCCCACAGGGTCTGGGCAGCAGGTGCTGGCTCCCCAGGGGCCGTGGGTGGGCAGACCACCCTCCCGCAATTAGCACCAGGGTTTTTTGTTTTGTATTTTTTGAGGCTCAGCTGGGCTTTCTGGCTTCTCCTGGAAAAATGTTTTTGTTCCCATCTCCCAGGGCTGGAGTAGGATGGGACGGGGCTTCAGGGAGGCGTGGCAGAGGAAGCCTAGTAGAGTCTCGGCCCCCGCGCCTTTCCAAGCCATGGGCTCTCCTAACCCCTCCGCCAGGAACCCAGACAGGAGCCCCTCCCCCACCCCGACGCGAGTGGAGGCCTGGGAGAGGGGGCAGCTGGCCTTCCGGTGGTAAAAATAGAGCTGACAATTGGAAAAGAAAAAGACCAGCCGTCAGCCTCCGCAGCACGCAGTTCCGGATCCCACCGCCAGGTCATTCCTTAAAATATTAATGAGGCATTTCAGCCGCCCCCGCTAATGCGCAGACGACCAATCGATTACCACACAGAGGGTGGTTGCCTGGGACGGGGTAGGTTGGGAGGGGCGGGACGCCTGGCCCGGGCCCGCAGGCCTCCCCCCGCCCAGCAGTGTCTCTGAGGAGCTCCAGCTGGGGCCGGCCTCCCCGCTGCAGGAGACAGCTGCCCCCAGGGAAGGGAAGGAGGCCCTGCAGAGCAAACGAGCAGCACCCTGAAAGGCTGGCTCCCCGGGCTGCACCTGGGCAGCATCCCCTTCCCCCGCACCTCGCACAGCTCCGTGCTCAGAAAGGCACGGCCGGCAACCGGGTACAGGAAGGGGCGGTGAAGATCAGAACTAAAGGTGCTCTGTTCTGACTGGGGTGCCCTCCCATAAACCATTCATGATGGGGAAACTGGGGCCTCTTCCTGGGGTCCCCCAATCCAAGAAGAGGAGACACTACCTCATTTGGCTCTTCCCTGTACCTGGGAAGCTGGCCCTAACTGTGCCCACGGGTGTCCTCTCCTCTGGATTCTTAGGGCCACTGGCCTGGCCCTGCCAGTCCAGCCCTGCTCTTCACAAGGCTCCTTCGATCTTCCTCCAGCTGCCCTCCTGGCCTCCGTGGGACAGTCCCCTGCGGCCCCCTGTCTGCACCTCTCCCCCTGCAGGACGCAGACAACCTTTGGGGAGGTTGCTGCATTGGCCAGGGGTGCCTTCTGCCCGCTAGGGACCTGAATCTCTCTCCCCGCTA